TTTACCCAAATTATTACTGATGAAAGGGCCCCTAAATAATCTCATGTATGTAGTCAAAACCACTTTTGGGAAGCCCTTCCATGTTAAAATCAATATGTTGCCGTGGGAAAGAAGAAATTTTGAGGCTGTACTGGTTCATAAAGTGACTTTGCCACCTGGGCAAACATCCCTGAACCTTAGTTAACTCCAGTATGCAATGGGGATAATATCCTCATGTTAGGAGTGTGGTGATGATTAAAAGTGATCAGTGAAGTATGATGAAGTGGAATTGCTTCCTCTACCCATAGTCTTTATACTGTCTACTCATACCTGGGTGGTAGCATGCAAATGGGGTATTTGGGGGTGGTAGCATGCAAATGGGGTGTTTGGGACTGAGATGCTGGGTTTGGTCAGTGTTGCCATTCCCCTCAGTGTCAAGTGAGCCATCTCAGGAGCAGCAAAGGGAGAATCTCATTCATGACCAGCAAGAACAAAGAGCCTGGCGTGAGCACACCCAAGATCCTTCCATGGAGAAGCAGCCGTGCCAGACTCTGAGACCAGGGGAGGGAAAGGAGGGCTCCCTGGCTCATCCGATGAGTAAGGTGAGTACCTTCTGGCAGGAAGCTGGCCGGCACAGTGAGGTGCCCTTTGGCTGTTTATCAAACCACGGGGACTCAAAACACTTGGCTGAGCAGATCAGAAGCCACGGGCCTGTGTGCCTGAGAGACGACCTGGCAGAGCTGTGCCTACCAGCAGGGCTGAGACAAAAGAACTGTATCCTTAACATTTCTGATCCAGGCTTGTTGTAACCTGTCAGCTTCCCTGGTAAAAGCCAGAATCATGAATATCGTATTGTCTTTGAGTCCTGTGTGGCTATTGCAAGCGACTGTGGCACCCAGCAGAGAAGTAAAGTGCTGTGGGAGAAACAGTGTCAGAATAAAGAAAGGTGGATGGTGGAGGCAGGTCTGCCTTCTGCCTCATAGAAATCAGCCTTGTGTGGATGTGGAATTGGATTCTCCTTCCCCCTTTTGTAGCAAAGTCAGATGTGGCCCCCTTGCCATTGCTTACATGCATGAATTACGGCTCAGAGTCGGAATCCTTTAAATACTGGTGCATCAAGTTAGATGAAAGGCAGAGACTTTTCCTTCTGGAAACTGGGAACTTAGTCTTCAAAGCCATTGGTTGTCAGACTGTTATTTAAAATCCCTGGATTCTCAAACCTGGGGTTCGAATGGCAATCTAGTTATTACTCACCTTTTTGGTAGTCTAGAAAAAATGAATGAGTTTTTACTTTTTTCTCTCCAGTCTGGTTATGAGAGATAGCATCCACTTTCTGTGAACCCAGCCGACCTTGGTGTTGAAAGACTGAGTTTTAAGCTTTCTTGTATAGGAGAATAATAAGCTTCTTTGAATCAAAATTTCAGAAAAAAGCTTATCTTTTTGAGTTTTAAACAAATGACTGGTATAGGCACAAGGCCAATTATTGTAAGGTCCTAAGGGAGGCCATTCAAAATCTTGCTTTAGAATTTTAGTCAGCTATTATTATTATTTGGGGTCATGTGTGTATTCGACAATCATTTATTGAGAATCTGGTAGGTGTTAGGAGTTTGCATAGCACAAATGGTTAAGTGTTCAGCTATTAACCAAAAGTTTGGCAGTTTGAATCCGCCCAGAAGCACCTCTTAGAAAAGACTTGACAATCTGCTTCTGAAAGATCGCAGCCATTGGACACTGCATGGGTGCAGTACTGCTCTGCAGTCCAGGAGGCAGATGTGAGCTGGACTTGACCTGACAGCCACCTGACTTGATTTAGGTTTGTAAAATGCTCCCTAAGACCAGTACCACAACAGTGAGCAAGACCTGGTCCATGACATCGTCCCAAGTTTAATTGACTTGGATGAATATTTTGTACTTTAAAAAATTAGTGTTTGATGCAGCAGAAATGGGAGGAGCGTGTACTCTTTTGGAGGGGTAAGGCAAGGGTGGGAAATGGCCAAACATGGAAGATTAATTGCATTTGAGTAAGTGACTAGAAAACTCATTTTCATTGACCTAATTGTCATTGATATGCAGTTATCTAGTTTACCATGGAATTTCTGCTTCTCTCGTGTTATCATTTTTGTGCTTCATGATCACCCTGTATATTCAAGGTATTGAACCTGTTTCATAAACAGTATTAATCTCAATTAATTTGGGAGCTTTAAATAATAGTCCCTTATTAAATGCATTCTTTGTTACGCTGCCCATGTGTTTGCATTGACAGAAGCTGCTAGAGCCAATGAAAGCAAACATTCCATTTAAATGAACTTTCCATATTTAAAAAATATTTGCATATTTATATTTCCAAATGGTTCTGCTTATGTAGACACCTTATTAGGCTAATTCAGAGATTTGAGGCTTAAGTCCAGTTTTTATGGCTTGATTTTATCTGAGGAGCAGTAAAAGAGTAAAACATTTTCTGTCTTGGCAGGAATCACCATGTTGAGAGAAATTAAATTTAAAAAAATAAAGGATTTAAATTTGTCCACGAGGCCGTGAACTTCTTAAGACATGGCCCCAACAAGTCACATAGTTGGTGTTCTTGAAGTGTTTGCTGATGGGGATCGTATTAAAATGGATAAGAAAACAGAGTTTGTGATCCTAGCTAGATCACCAAAGATTGCCCGGGGGGTTCTTTATTACCAAGTCATCTTTTTCTTCTTTGGTTCAGAATTTTCCTTTTATTATGTTCATCGTTGATGTGGAACAGTTTTCAGGCCTCTTGCTGTGACTCATTTGAGTGGGGAGGCTAAATGTTCCTGTAGAGCCAGCCTGCCCCCCGCCTCACCCCCACCTTAAGTTGTGGTGCTCGGGCTCCCCCGGCCAAGGCAGCTTGCCTCTGGGCCAAGATCACAGCAAAATGTCCAAACTGGTACTTCGATTTCTAGGTAAACACAGAGAACGAACATGGTAAACCCTATATTATGTAAGTCGCCTGGAACAGCCTCCAAGGTACATTCATGTTTTCCTATTAACTCTTGGCTGGCACAAGGGAATCCTCTTTTCTTCGAAGACAACCTCCCCGAGTTGAAAAAATGCTCATTTCATCATGGAGTCCAATTAGACTGACATTTAATTTCAGAGCCTGTTCCACTATCTAATTTAATCACCACAGTGAAAATAATCACTGTGACCAAAAAAATGGTAGAGTCTAAGTTTATGGGGCACCATCTTTCAGCCACAATATTTTGTTGCATGTGCAGTGGTGGCTCATATGTAGCTGTGATCGCTGGAAGCTATGCCATGGCTATTTTGAATACAGGAAGGGCATCCCTGATGGACGAGTCTCAATGGAGCACCTAGAGCAGGGGTGCTCCACCTTCCTCATGCCGCAACCCTTCCATACAGTTCCTCAAGTGGTGGGGACCCCCAGCCGTAAAACTATTTTCATTGCTACTTCATAACTGTCATTTTGCTATTGTTATGAATCATCATGTAAATATCTGATATGCAGGATGTAGTTTCATTGTTACAAATTGAACCTAATTAAAGCATAGTGATTCATCACAAAAACAATATGTAGTTATATATTGTGAAATATTTATTTCTAGTAACAAAGAAATGACATTTTGTATTGAAACATGGTGTAGCATGGGTAACAGTCTTCACTCCTGGTACTCGTATGTGGGCGTATCTGCCTGGAGACAGATAGAGGAGCGGTGTCTCGGTTCCTAAGACCATGGGAAATATGTGTTTTCTGATGGTCTTAGGCAACCTCTGTGAAAGGGTCGTTCAACCCCCAAAGGGGTCACAACCCACAGGTTGAGAACCGTTGACCTAGGCTAAGACAGACTGGGAGAAAAGGCCTGGTGATCTACTTAAAAATATTAGCCAACGAAAACTTAATGAATCCTGGGCTCAAACATGCCATCAAAATGTATAGTCTTGAAAATCCACAAGAGCAGTTCTCCACTGGCCTGTAGGGTTGTATGAGTCAGAATTGCCTACATAGCAGTGCGTTTTCTTTCTGTCTGTCTGTCTTTCTTTCTCTTCTTTTGTGGGGTGGGGTGGGGTGCAAAACCAGGACATTTCTCCTTCCTAAAGTCATCAAGAGGTGGAGCCGACTGGATCACAAAAACAGCAAATGGACAGTGTGGAGATTGAAACTGAGCAGAGGAGAATGGCACGTGGGAAACGCCTTCTCACACATGCTTCCTTCACCACTGAGCGATTGGTTCAGTTACCCCTCGCATCACCTGGCTCAGTCTCTCAACCGTCCGTGTGCCATGGGTTTTTGATGAGCGCTGTTTACCATGTAGACTCTTGTCTTGTGAGCCAGTCAAGGGACTTGCAAGAGACAGGAGTAACTATCTTTAGAAACTAACCTTTAGCAATTATTTCGACAAATTTAAAAAAAAAATCAAGTTCCTGGAGAGTCCTGAAACTCTTCTCTGTCTAAATTTCTCACTTGTCGAAGAGAGAGCCCAGACCTGGGTCATCTCACCTGGCGGCAGCCTGGGCATAATGGCAGGCAAAGCAGAAGCACCAGTGTAGCACTCACATCATTCTCCGGGGCCCATATAAGCTGGGCAGTCTAGGTCCTGGGGGGCCATTAGATGGTATATGGATGGTGGGCTTTGAGCCTGGCTTCTTGCAAAGATGCTGTGGGATGCATTTGCAAACTTTGGGTAACTCTGAGGCTTTGGATCTTAAGTACAAGCACACCTTAACAGCACCCAGGCGGAGGGTAGGATGTTAATCCTGCCGAACTTCCGTCCAGGTAGGGGCTGCCCTGCTTCCCCTGGGCCGCTGCTCACTTGTCTCCTTGACACGGCCCCTGCCTGGGCTGATTGGTCATTGGCAATAACTGATATGGAATACCGATGCTCTTGCCGGCACTGCCTTCCACGCCGAAGAGACTCCTTACTGCCCCTCGTCTCGCCTGCCCGACTGACTCCAGCCCGGTGCCCACCCTCCCCTTCCCCCCCAGCACTCCGCCCCTGCCCCTGGCGGGGAGGACGCGTCCTGGACGTGCTGCTCGGAAACTCAGCAGGCTGCTTTCGCTCCCCCTGCCTTTCGGGAGAGCCCTGTCCCAGACTTCTCAGGGATTTTACAGCACAAACAACTGCATGCGGGCCCGAGGGGCGGCTGAGCAGGACTAGTGCGTGTTGGCTCCATCGCTTCGCATCACTTTGCTGGCCGCATCCCCAACCTGGAGGAGGTTCCGGCTGGATTTCTCTCCGCCCAAACCACCAAGGAAGGAGCCCCGCGCCTTCGGTTGACTCTTGCTATTTTTATGGTAAGTGCTTGCTTGCAGTGAGCTCCTGGGCTGCAGTGTAGGGAGCGCTCTTCCTCGCTAAGCTTGGTGACCTTCCTTCTGGGTGTGTGCGGTTTTCAGGGAGCCTCCTCAGGGGTGCTCCAGCTAAGAAAATGCCAGGGCTTATTTGTCTGGGTGCTTTGTCTTTCCACCCACCCTGGTAAGCCTGAGCTCCTCAGCTGCGATGGAAACCTAAGCACCCTCTCTTTGTCCTTGAAGCGGCTGCTGGGAGATGAGAAACTGCAGCAGTTTGCAGGGCAGCAGTGGAGGATGACTGACAATTTGGGGTGAGATGAAGCCCCCGTGAGCTGAGGGGCACCCTCTCTGCCTCCAGGAGGGCCCAGGTGTGGGGCCCACGTAACAAACTCTTCCATCTTTCTGTGGGCAGACAAGCTCACGTGTGAGTTATGTCGGAGTCTGCGGTGAGCAGAGGTGCTTCAAGCACCGGCCACAGACATCAAGGTGGCCCTGTGCCTTGTGGGGTGGGCAACTTGGGCAGTGACATCCGCTGCTGCGGGCGGAATCCTGCGCTGGCAGACGGAGCCGGCCACATGACCTCATTGCTTCTTTCCCATCAAAGTCTCAGGGTGCCAGCTTGGCAAACCATCTTTTGCCGTCTCCTCAGAGGGAGGTGGGGGGCAGGGGGGTGGAGTGGTGGAATCTTTCTGAGTTGACAGCAGTTTCAACCTCCTGAAAGAGAAAAAAAAATGCTCTGAGGCGATGGGAATGGTTAAGACTTTTCTAAGGCAGCACGAAGCAGGTTTCTGGTGAAGAGCCTGTGTGTTACCGCATCCACCAGCCGGAGTGCTGTTGATCCAGAGCATTTGTCTCCGAAGAATACTCTAGTTTGGCACCTGGTCTTCTGAGAGACTTACTGCAGAGGACACCACAACTTCAAGTCTGTTATTGGCTGTCCCTTGAAGTCCAAAGGAACCCCAGGAGCGTTAGGGAGTTGTTGAACAAGTGCCTTGCAGGCATCTTATCACCAGGAGGTATTTTGGGGGGAGGTGGGTGGGGGTTGTTGGGTGGTAAGCAGGTATGTTGCACTGTTTTGGTCAGAGCAGTGTGCCAAAGAACAGGCTTTGCAGGGGATATCGGACTGAGTTCCTTCCCAGTCTTAAACTGGAGAAGGGTCGTGTCATTTGACTGTCAGTGGCTTTTCCAGTTCTGGTGCAGTTCCACTATCTGAAGGCTTTCCCCCTCAAATGTGATCTGGCCGCTGACATGTAAGGTACTGCATTCATCCATGCAATTTAATAATCACCGAGGGGAAAAGGTTGGGGAGCAATTTCTGGTCTCTTCTCCCTGTTGGTAGGGAAACGGGGCTGTCCAGTTTCTCAACTGCCTTGCTCGTTCTTACCACTTTTCTCTCCACTGTTTGTGTGGATATTTCTTAAAATAAAATAGTGGTGATGACCTCAGGCATATGCTTTTATCCAGTTTCTTGCATCCACAGAAGACGCATTTGTTGTTTTGTTTTGTGGGAGTTCTATTTATGGCTACAAGTATGTATCTACATAATGATCACAAATTTATAGATGTTTACATGATACATCCAGTCCAAGAGTATGCATGCAAACAGGTTAACAAGGGGAAAAGTGTGTGTGTTTGTGTATGTGTGTGTGTTTGTGTGCGAGGGGTGTTGTGGGGTAGTGTGGGCAGTTTGCAGACTGTAGTCCCCGAACCCTTAAAGAACATTTGAAATACTCTGAGCATTGTTTGGAATCACTGTTCTAGTGCCCACTCTGCTTCCAACACTTGATTGTGGCTCGTAGCAATCTTGGGATTTGAGAAACAGGCTTCCCTGATCCCCTTAAGCTTCTTTAAGGATGACCAGTTTACTTTTCCCTCAGTGATGTTTTTGTATTTTGCCGTGTTTTCCTCCCCCTCCCCAAATATAAAGGATTTGTTGCATGTCTGGCAACTGTACTGGAGGTATTCAACAAGATGGAAACAGAATCGGCGCCGGCGTCATAGAAATAGACTGTTCCCACTGCGGGCAATGTCTGGTGCATCTGGGACATATTTCATTTTAGTGAGGAACTATTTCAGCTTGAGAGAAAAAAAAATTCATAGCCCTCCCTTATTTTGCTAAACAGAATGTTTACCTGCTTCTCTCAGCATTGCACACGTGTGCAAGCATGCGGGAGGATGCACTGCGTGTACACGTTCTTAATAGTTGCAGCATGCTAGTGTAGAGGCGAGAGGAAAAGCTCTGAGAAAGTGTCTTCCTTCGTGTATTTTTGGAGGGGGTGCGGTAGGGATTTCCCCACGTCCCACAGACCTCCTCCAGATAATGCCTTCCGGAATGGCTTTGAATTTCGAGTGCATTCTTCAGCATTTCCTTGATTCACAGCGTGGTGCTGTCATGTTAATTCCTTTCCTCAGTCTCTGAAGGCAGAAACGACTGCCACCGGAGAGTAAGATAAAAGCTACGCTGAGTGGAGCCTGTAGCCTGTGTGTGTGATGGAGTCACGACAGCATTTTATTTGTGTGTGTGTTTATTTTGCTGCTGTGCTTTGCAGCGAGTGTGCCCCAAGCCCAAGCGCACATTGAAGTTATTTGAAATTGGTTGAGGGAAGCGTGGCCTGGTGTAGATGCAGGTATTCATTTTCTGTGCTCCTCAGTGACAGCTAGCTCTAAAACAATGTTTTCACCCTATTTTTAAGTGTGTGTATGTTGTTTTAATTTGAAGCCTGCAGCTTTTATGATGAAGCAGTGGGTTTTGTGTTTTTTTTAACCTCCTTGTCTTTGGCTCACTCGCTTTTTGCTTCTGATATCCCAGTATATTTAAAGAGAGGACTTCATAAAGTTTGTGGAAAAATTTCATCATCTTTTCATTCCATTTTTTCTATGAACTTTTTGAAGCCTATATAAATGTGTGTATTCATACATACATATATACACATACACATATAATATATTAAATACAACATGTGCAATATGTCACACAGATATATACATACCTATATCAGCATATATACAAATATATACAGATACATACATATATTTAAACATGTGTTAGTCTGTACATAAATGTAATGTACACATGCCAGAAACGCAAACAATGAAAACACTGTGATCATGGAGGCTGGTTCACAGCTTCTCTTTGGGAACTCCCAATGTCCCAGCTATAATCTCATAGCTGGGAGAAGACATCGCCCTCACTACTATAAATACAACCTCATGCTTCTGCAGGCATGCTTGTTACTGCCACTATTTTCCATAGTTGATTACCAGGACCAGAAATAGAATCTATTTTGCATTTTAATTAATGATATTCTGGATCCATCTAGGTTGGACTGCCCTCAAACCTTGACATGTTTACTGTCTAAGAGGTCTTGGTGCTGAGGAAGGGACCTTGTGCGGAGTCAAGGTGCAATCACTTGATGATGTTAAGCAGCCTTCCTTTAGACACTGAAAGAATTGTATCATTAAGGAGGATATTGTTGGTATTTTTGTTGCTTTCCCCAATATAATTAAGTCAATATATTTCTTCTCACCATCTCTCCATGAGGCTTTTTTTCAATAGTAAAAAGAGTAATGTGCATCGCCTACATAAAGCTTCTTAGAGAGAGGATCATTCTTCAACAGAGATTTCAAACAACTTCTAGCACCAGCTATAGTGATCTACTTGGAAAGGAACCTGCTCTTCCTTTGGCCACCCGGATAGACTGTATAACATAGGAGACATGCTTCATGAGCTGTGTCGAGAACTGCATTTTTTATCTGTGTCGCCCTACTGAATTTATTTAGAACTGTAGTCACTAGACCAGCTTGGCCGAAAACAAAACAAGCAAAAGGCATGACCGCAGTAGTAGAGTCATTTAGCCAGACAGCTGTAAGTATTCACAAGTGATCCTTCGTGGGTGGTAGAGGGAGATGGCAGAATGCTGGAGAAGAACTAAATCACAGCCCCCCCCAACTCAGGCAAGAGGAAAGGAGATGATTCTTCCTTCTACTCAGCATTTTATACTCCAGTCTGTTGACTCCCAGGTCTAGAGAGCCAAGAAATTGTTCCAATCACAGAGTGACAGGTTTCACAGTTTTACAGCGGCAAGTTTACATAATAGAAATCTCTGACCCTTACTGAGGCATCTGCTAAGGGACCTTTAAGGCGTGTGTGAGCCAGCAGCCATTCTGATAGAAAGCAGACATACTGTAAGACAACAGGAATTCACTTACTTGCATCTTCCCTTTTGGTCTTTCACTGGGGACCTCCGGTGAGTGTCAGAGGGGAATGAGTGCCAAGGCCATCAGAGACTGTGCCAGTCACAGTGTGATGTCTTCAAGGACCCTTGGAGTCCACGCCTGCCCCACTCGTGTGACTCACACTCTCTGCGTTTGCTGCATTGGTGCTGGGCCAGATGATCTCGAAGGGCTCCCATGCAGTCATTAAGAATTGTGGAATCAAATGTATTACTATTTCCAGCTGGATGGCAATTTCTGTAGCAATTGATCCAGATTAAACGCTCATTTAGGGAGTGGGCAACATCTTCCCTTGGGAACTATGATAGGGCATGAACATTAGAATTAATCAGCAAGGTTAGACATGTGTTAAACCTTTGAGTATAGGGCTCACGTACATATGATGACTATCTGTTTAACTGGGACAATTTGAAGCATCTCTTGTTATCACCACAAATGTCCTAGATGAGCATTTTTCAAGCCTGAAAGGAAACTGAGGTTCAGAGATGAAAAGGAAGTTAGTTAAGAGACTTCCCAAGGTTGGAGGCCTACTTAACACGTGGGTAAGACGAGTTTAGTACAGTGTACATAGTGTGGGGCCTTGCTCCATTCCCAATGTGGGGTGTCTTCCAGGATACACAGCTGACATTTATTGTGTCATTCATTGCTCACAAAACTGCTTTGTCGCATCTCACTCACTGGTGTCCATTCTTTCTGGGTTCATTTCAGGCCGATAAAGTTGTTGTACCAGGCAGGCGAGTCACACCCAGCAAATCCGTCACACTCAGCAAATA